TCGAGACCAGCCTGGGCAACTTGGTGAGACCTCATCTCTACAATAAATCAAAAAATTAACAGGCGTGGTGGCTCGTGCCTGGAGTTCCAGCTACTTGGAAGGCTGAAGTGGAGAGATCGCCTGAGCCCAGCAGGTCGAGGCTGCGGTGGCTGTGAGCGTGCCACTGCACTCTAGCCTGGACGACAGAGTGAGATTCCAACTCAAAAAACAAAACAAAAACAAAAAACAGTAATTTTCCATATTGGTGCAGATCCTTCTGAAGTGTTTTGAGGTATAACCCTTGATTTTAAACTCTTAGTATGCACAATTGTTTTTCAGGTCAGAAAAGGAATATAGGACAGTGGACATCAAAGGTTATTGAGAACACTGATTTCGTCCTCTCGACAGCTGGATAGGGTAGTTATCATCCCTGTTCTGCCCATGACAAGGGGTGCTGAGAGATGTGCAGGAGGCTGAACTTGTCACTCTAGATCACTAGGTAGGCAGAACTAGATCTGAATCCAGATCCTCCCAAGGCAGAGTCCTCGTTCCTCACCACCCAGAGCACATGCTGTTGACCTCTCACTGGCAACGCTCTGAAGGCATTGGGTCTTCCGCCCCGTCTTCAGCGCCTCTGCCTTTGTGCATCCTGCATCCTCTGTGTTTCTTTCTCTTTCCCCCACTCCATCTTTACCTTTAAACTACTCATAAGTGAGCGTCCGATGCACAGTGTGCTGACTATCCTATCTTCAGAAATACAGACAGCTGATGTGGGAAGCTGATATGGGAAGGTTGCTTGAGGCCAGGAGTTTAAGACCAGTCTGGGCAACATAGCAAGACCCCGTTTCTCAAAAATAAAATAAAGAACAGACTTTCTTCTTTTTTTTTTTTTTGAGTTGGAATCTCACTCTATCACCCAGACTGGAGTGCAGTGGCCGCTCCTGGCCACCGCAACCTCGAGCTGCTGGGCTCCAGCGATCCTTCCGCCTCAGCCTTTCAAGTAGCTGGAACTACAGGCGTGCGCTACCACGCCTGGCTAATTTTTGATTTGTTGTAGAGATGAGGTCTCGCTAAGTTGCCCAGGCGGGTCTCGAACCCGCGGGCTCAGGCAGTCCACTCACCTCAGCCTCCCAAAGCGCTGGGATGACAGGCTGAGCCACCGAGCCCAGCTAAGAGCAGACTTTCTTAAACAGCCATCTTTGACTCAAAGTCACCAGTACAGGACTTTGAGCAGCAGGATGTGATGCATTTACACCTTAGGAGAAGACTGGAATCCTTATTGGGTGCTCACTGTCAGGTTCAGGGTTAAGTGCGTACATTAGTAGGGTTTGCCAGCTGTTATTTCAGTGAAGAGCTAAATTTCTTACTTCTTATTTTTTTTTAGAGTTGGAGGTCTCGCTTTGTTGCCTACTCTGGAGTGCTGTGGACATTCACAGTCATAATCATAGCATACTACAGCTCCAAACTTCTGGGCTCAAGTGATCTTCTCTTGAGTAGCTGGGACTGTAGGTGTATACAATTGCACCCAGCTTAATTTGTTACTTTTTATACATTTCTTACTTTTGATAAATGTAAGATGTTAACATTAGGGGAAGTTGGGTGAAAGGGATTCTCTGTATTATCTCTGCAGTTCTAAAATAACTTAAAAATAAAAAGTAAGCCGGGCTCGGTGGCTCAGCCTGTAATCCCGTGCCTTTGGGAGGCTGAGG